GAATGTAGTTCTCAAGACAGTTTCGACACTGTACTCAGTCCGTTTCTATAAAGCTAGTTGTAATTCATATAGGAAGAGCAGCAAATTGATTGCAACCCGGTGTAGGAGGCTTGAGGTTAGAACGGACAATTTTTAGGACGTCCACGGCAAATTTTCCCATCAAAACAGAGTAGAAGCGTTGGCTTGTGATATGTACAAAGCTTGGAATCAAGTTCTCCAAGGTAGTTGCTTCAGATGTATTTGGGTCTCCGAATTAGGGCTAGCGTTCAAACCCCGAAATGACATGTCAGTTAGTGAGAAATAGGATTTTCAACGTGCCGTCTCCAAGGATAGCACGATATGGTTATTGGTCCAGGTAGATAAGTGAGCTGTACGGTAGTCCTACTATATATTACACATAGAAACAGACTAGCAAATCCTGCCGCAGAACCTTAGCCCTGCCCAGGATTTGAACAAAGCATATAAAGCCATATAACTGCTATCAGAACGCAAAAGACTTTCAAATCTATTCCCTCTCTAATTGGCATGAGCTCCTCTACGAATGCTGCACGTGAAATCGGTGAGATCTCCACCGAAATGACCACATTAACCATGCTAATTGTCAATTTGAAATATTTAGTTCCTATGAAACCCCCCGATCTAGGAACGGGAACCAATCCTATCATAATTGAAGAGGAGTGTGCTCCTTTAGGATCGGCACTTAACCCTATCAATGTTGAAGACTCCGGGAACCCAATCCTAGCGCCGACCAAATCACCTGCCTGCGAAGACCTAGGGAAATCTCAAGCTCCTAATCGACCCTCTATCTGTTATATGCTCAATTGGGGGTGACTTTTGGGCGAGTGAGTCGGGATTCGTGTTCTCCATGTATAGTCCAAGTATGAACGACTACGCCTTTGGATGGCGCACAGACTTGATGGCAGGTGTTTAGAATCAAGCTGATAATTGGAGTGAACAGAAAGGAATATTAAGGCGTCACAGCGGGGGAAGCGAAGTAGTCGAGGGGCATAAGCTATTCCCGCGAGGCACGCAAAAGTCTACTTTCCCAGGGCAAGTCTAGTGAGGATAGCTGCAGATAGAGAGCAGGCAAACATTCTAAGAGACAGATCTCCGTAGATCGGGTGAGAGAGTGAACTGATTCTAAATGGCTCTTGCCCTAACCAGGATAACCGAAGATACAGGGGGGCAGGATCCAAATTCTTGGTGGAAACCTTCCCTTGCCTGAGTAGCTGATCAAATAATAAGACCCGTCAGGAAATTGGCCAGCATTGGACATGCCAGCATACTAGGGCATTTATTGGCTTGTGGCACAAGCCCATCCAGTGCCAATAGAAAGTCGGTTATCTGAAGCCATGATTTCACAGGAAGAATGGGAATGCTACCCTGTACGGATGGAAGGCTGAGTGTGGTAAGCGTGGAGAGGCGCGTTCTCCGAGATGGCCCTCCCCCCTGCCTAGTAGTGCGATACGTGAGTGACCCACTAAAGTACTCTTATTTCCATCCCATTTGGGATAGATGCGGACCTGCGAGGGTCTGTTTCCTAACCAGGTGGTCCGAGGTAGCCGACATTTTCATTGTTTGAACTTGGCCTCGCGCACAGCCTTGCACCGGCCGAGTCTTTTTACTGGTAGGTCAGTTCATCCATTGGCTTGGCAGGACAAGACGTTTTAGATCGTGAAAATGATCACATAGCAGAGGCCACCGGATAACGCATAATTAGGCGGCCAAAACATGGAGAGATAGCAAGAAATTGGGTATACGGGACGCGCGCGCCAGTGAAAATTGTACACAAAGCCCGATGGGAATAGTTGCGTGATATACCGCTGCATAAACCCATCATGGAAATGATGGTCATAGTATAAAGGGGGGGAAGGAGAGGAGGCGGAGGCGCGGCTTTTTTTAATATTCCTTTTACCAGTGGGCGGTCCAGGACTCATGTCACACGCAGCATCAAAACCCTTCTCCGAGGACTTCCTTTCCTTAATTTGCAAGCTAAAACATTTAATGCAGTGAATTACGGTGTATTGAAACTGCTAGTAATTACGCGGCTGACATGCTGAGAAAGACGGAGCGTTGCTGATCTTCCCATCAGTGCTCAGCAGGGTCAGTCCAAATATTGAGTCCCCACACAACGAGGTTTGCCGTAATATGATGATCTAGACTTGTGACTACTAGCGCTATCGCAGAGTCGAAAGGGATGTCTGGTCTTCTCGCGGGCCATTCGAGACTGCCAACTCTGACCAAAGAATTGGGGCCCTACGAATTGAAATCATGGTCTATGACATTATGGAGCTTGACATGGATCTATGAAAGGGAAATGCAAGTTCTTGGCCCAAGGATTTTGCCTTAGTATAAGTCAGATATCTGCACCCATGTTACTAGAATGACCCAGTCACATTATCTTCATGGCATCCATCTTGCTCAATTGCACATACATTCCCACTCCCATCAATAATACGCAAATATATGTTTGATGGTGACTTTGGCTACAATTGTAGAGGCATGGACAAGTGCGCGGTAGATAGTTTGGGCCGATGAACGTCCTAAAATCCCGGCAAAGAATCCCTCAAGGCAGAAGGATCCCTAATTTCATCTTGGAAATTTGGAATATTCGAGATGAAGTCTTTTAAGTGTCAGTAAGGTTCATGCACCCATTAATACAATAGCATACCTGCCAGCTTGCTCGGTTGGGATATTCCATCCTTGAATAAAGCTCTTTAATGAAGGCAATAAACTGAACTTGATCGAAGAGAATTCCCAAAGAAGCAATCAAAGCTCGCTCTGAGTGGCGTTTTAGACGGCCAAAAGACAGTGCCACAGCCGCTGCGTAAATATTCAGGTGCAATATGGATGGATGACAGCCGGTGGAACCGGGGGTTGAGATACGGAGAAACCGACTCCGTTTCCGCTTTCGAGTATTACTGGAAAGGCCGCCTTGATCACAGCCATCGGACTCAGACTCGTCCCAGCCTCCAATGGGAGGCGACTCGAGGGTATATTGACCCGTATATGCCAGCTCCAAGGCCCTTTGAACCATATCAGAGGTGGAACATTGGATATCTCGCTGGGTTTCCTGAAGGACAGAACCCGATTAGATTCCAAAATAACAAAAAAAACAAGGCGCGGAGATCAGGCAATCTCATTTAATATCTGTAGACACTGCAGCTGATCGAAGACAGCGTCAACGATAATTCAATGCCCTGGAAAAGATTTGTTGCCACAGGTAATGGTGAAGTCACTATGAGCCGGGCTAAGGTAAAGGCTGTTTCACTTTAGCTTTCCTAGTTCAGACAAAGCTTCAAAATACAGACCTTTTTATTCTTGAGAAGCATTTTCTCGTACTCCTTGTGGGGTTCCATATTCGACATAGCCATGAAAGGAATGAAAGCGCCGGAGTTGTGGCAACAGGTTGGGAGGCGTACAGCAAATTCCTGCAATTGTTGATCCTTGATGGTTTGAGCCATTCATAGGGCGTGGAATTTACAGGGATCCTTCAAAAATCGCGACTTTTAGTTTTCTCCATACGGTGACCCCGAAGGAGGCCAAAGCGCTTCAAAACCTGGTCTGTCCATTTCGGTGCCTAAGATGAAGCAAGCACATGTTCTGATGAGATGAGAGCAGATCTGGCGAAGCTGTTTGCTTTGATATGTGCAATTGTGCAAGACCTTACTATCCAGAATTCATTGGCTAGCAAGGGAAAATTCTGGAATGTCCCGAAAGCCAAGTGAACATAATATATGGATCTTGATGGTGTTCATGATCGATACAAGGGCATCACTGAATATCGCGCAATTATGTAGATATGGGGAGACTTTGCACAGGGCTAGATGGAGATCGAGGCGTGATGTGCGCTTGCATAAACTCATCATGAAAATAATAGACATAGCGGAACCCCAGAAGAATGGTGATAGAGAGGATGAGAGGAGGTGGCTTGCTGGCGGGGCCATCTTTGTTTACCAGTGCTCCAGGCGTTACAGGCGGCATCAGAAACTTTCTCAAGGCTGATTTTCTTCAATTTGCTATGTGATCATGGTATTACAATTCGATGATTAGGGTTTATTGTGTTCACTTGTAATTACAGGACATTCTGAGAGTCCCAGGAACCGCGGAGAGACTTGCTGATCCATGTGTCTGCGGTCGGCAGGGTCAGTCGAGATATCGAGCCCCACACAACTAGGTTTCCAGCAATGTGATCGTTCTGGCGCTGTGTTTTGCTTATGATCTAGATTTGTGGCTACTGGCGCTACCGCAGAGCTGACAGGGGTGTCTGGTCTTCTCGTGGGCCATTTGGGACTCCCCAATCTAACCAAAGGATTGGGTTCTAACGAATTGGAATCAAGCCGTAAATAATATTTTTGTTCAGGGTGATTATAATTGATGTACAAATAGCGTAGAAGTCCCCATGCATCTATTCTCAGTTATTACCATCATTCTCACTCCCTCTACACTGAATTCTTCCTGCCATGGAGGTGGAACATTTATCTCCTCAGGTAAGGCTTCCGATCCATTTCCACGACTAGGTGCTAAAACCTCGAAGCATACGTCGCTGGATTCCACAGATCTACACAGGGCGCAAACTTCGTTGAAAGCCCTCTATGGATTTTATTTGAGTAAAATGGAGCTAGAAAACAACACAATGTTGCCCGAACCGAAGTCTGAGACTTCTAATCTCATCAACATTTGTCAAGGCTTGAAAAAAGACAACCCTGACGAGGAGACGCTCCAAGCTTTGGCCCGAAACCCGACACTGGAAATTCATACGCAAGAAATGGTTGTACAATTTACAGACGGAGCACAAGAAATGCTGTCACTACTCGCTCGGCACTTTGACCCGGAGTGCACATCAATCACCATTGGGCTTCTTCGGTTTCTATCTTGCCCCTGCAGGCAACTGCACACAGTTTGCGAGCACATATACCCACATTACAACTTTTTGGAAACCTTCCAACACTTTAAGGAGAAACTCGGGCGTTTTCTGAAACTGCTGCCACACCTTGCGCTCAATGGTCTCGAAAAGTTCCATTCAGAGGTTTGATATCTATCATCTTTGGGTTCTTGATGTTTGGGAATTGGACGGCATTTTGGAAATAATTTTGACGTTCATGGTCAACGGGATCTGGGCGTTAAAATAGCTAAGAATTGAATACCTAGTATTCGTTCTGTATAATAGTCCAATATCACAAGCATTATTTTACTGATTTTACCATCCTCCAGCATACATTTATGTGTACCCCTCAGGCACAAACGCTTTGTTTCTTAGCCCGTACCCGAGATGGGGCTTACCTTACTTTGGCCTAGTTGTAAGCAACATTAGTCTGAGTAATACGGATCCATGAGCTCGATTGTTAGCCAATCGAACAAGTACACGTCATAGCAAAACACAACTTCACCCATATACCATCCACTTTACCATCCAAGGCCGATCGCTTCATATATGCTGCCATCGAAAATGCCTGCCAGAGGTTGGACCCGACAAGTGTGAACGCAGAGGATTTGACTCGATCAGTTGGCAAGACTAATTTCTTGTCCGCATCTTGCCACCCAAGGAGTGTTCGATAGCGGCAATAGAAAGTCGACCGTTCTTCTTCCTTAAGCCCCTCATGCTTTCCGTGAATCTCTCTCTCTCGATGTTCTGCCAATGAATCAAAACGAGTGAAAGAGCTGAGACACCCAGGACAGACATATTCCTTCTTTGCCTCTTCGAAAATGCGGTTTATAACATCGATCGTTGTCTCGTCTTCCGACATTGCGGTGAGATAATCGGTGGAGCTAATAGCAGGCTTTGCGTGGGTAGAAGCTCGAATATGATGGGTGCTGAGTGCGACTTGGAAAATGGATGAACGACAGTATAGTCCTTACTGGAGAGGGCATCATCGGCTCTTTAAGTAGCTTATATTTTATTTGCAAGACCATGAAAACATCCAGACAAAAGAGAAAACGGTGATTACGCCTGCGGGCTCTCGCCGCTGATCGCATATTTTTCTTTCGTGGTCTTCTCAGAAACTAGCACAACCTCGTCTTATTGGTACAAATGGCTTTCTTCTCCTTTTCTGGTAGGCACAAGTATATATCTGCTTTTGCCTCCCCGTATGTAAAAGCAAGCTATGTGCATGGGCTATAGGACGTACTCAAGGGTTCGAGACTTCAGTGACTAAATCTTCACCACGACGATATTTACAGGTGTGTGATCTCGAGCTCGTACATAGAGCAGGCACAGTTGGATCAGCCGGCGGTCTAAACTCACCCACATGGTCAGACATCATTGGTTCCGGAACAATTAAGAATTTTACACCTGTCTTTCTCCGCTGGCTCCATTGGCTCCATTCACTCCACTCACTCCATTCACTCCACTCACTCCATTCACTCCACTCACTCCATTCACTCCACTCACTCCATTCACTCCACTCACTCCATTCACTCCACTCACTCCATTCACTCCACTCACTCCATTCACTCCACTCACTCCATTCACTCCACTCACTCCATTCACTCCACTCACTCCATTCACTCCAGTTCCTCCGTTCACTCCATTCACTCCACTCACTCCATTCACTCCATTTACTCCACTCACTCCATCCCCCTCATCCGTTTCTGTTCGCTCCGATCCTCTTTCCGTTCTCCAGACTCGATAAATACGATATTAAAGCTCCTAAAACTTATTGCCGCCTACGTAAGGCAGCATTGTTTGTGTTCCGAGACGTATGTGGATTCAATTACTTGGTTGGTTGCTAGTACCGGGGCTCTTTGTTGCCGACACCCGAAGATCGAGAACACAAAAAAGTGTTATAGATATACCTGCGACCTACAAATAGTGGAACAGGGATCCTGGATCGGGTCCCCATGTCTAAGCTACTGCATGTACTTTGAAAATGCGCCGATCTTGCTGCATGTATACGATCAAAGAGGGATTTGGATCTAGTGCTGAATTGATGGTCATAATCCTTCTACCGTCCTTTTGTCATTTTACAATTGAAGTCTAGAATTGAAAAGGGCTTGCATATCCCCTTCTTATTCTTTTTGTTTTTTATACACACTCAGCATTATGTAAAAGATCATCCCACTTGATCAACCTTCTTCTTTCAAGATATTTCTGCCCCAACCCCAGGTACCATCTTTCGTTTACTTGAAATACAAAAAGTGGAGGCTTCCTTCCGTTCCTGCATCCCGAGTACGAACAGTTACTGTGCTGCAGATATCCGCTTTCCATCCCCATTGAGATTGAGACACCTGCACATTGTCAACTCGAACTGTGTGAGTACATTCCACTAATTTCTTCTGGTTCTATTTGCAAGAGTTTGATTGGATCCTGGTTGTCAGAATGCCAGCATTTGTCCTACCGGTTCCCGTATCGGGGCCGGGATGGCTTTTCCGCCGTTGGGTGTTCATGAACACCCTCTCCCGGGGACGGACTGGTGCTGCCGAAGATGCTTAGAAGCAGTTGGCTGACTGCAAATTCACAGCATTAGTACCAACTTCTTCGCAAGAGTTGCAACTCCCTCTCCCGAGTAGCACTATCTATGAAGAGAACAGTCTCCTGGGCGTGCAACAGCATCCTTCTCGAGACGACTGCGTACCAAGCACCTATACGTATTTATATCCGCCGCAATGGCTTACAATAAACCAACAAGCGGAGCCATGAAGAGGTCTGCCTCGGTTCTCGAAGGACCCCCCATATGGGGTGATGTTCCTGTATTTTGTTCCCTAAGAGAAATTTGGATTCCTTCTTACTGACATTCGATTAAGCCAATGATGACCAACTCCCGCTCATCGTTCCCTCCTCCTTGTGTTCACTTTGCCATTATTTACCTTGACGGTGACGGTAAACTTAAGGTTGATGAATCATCTTCTATTCAAGAGCAAAACTTGACTGTGTTCACCCCAGAAGTTCGCCAGAACTTCCTCGAGATTCTGGGTGAACGTATCGGCTACCGTGCCCCTGCTCGCCGTATGTCAAAGTGACCCTAAGTCCAATCAATGTAATATATGCTAATACCAATTTACAGAGACAATGGACACATCTCCTCGTCGGGTGAGACGTCGCAAGGGCAACGCTCCTGCTATTTCTGTCTGTGATGACCGCATGACTGAGCAGGATTCTGATAGCGAGGACCTCCCTAGCTCTACCGAAATGGTTCCTCTCCGCATTGGAGATGCCCAAAAGGTCATGGGCTATTACGAAGGTGCCCTAAAGCACTTCCAACAGCTGAACTGCCGTATGGTTGCCAAAGCATTCATCAAATTCATCGAGCCTCGCAAGCAGGTTCGACACCCTTACAATGGTGGCAAGGCACCACCAGGATCCGCCCCCGGTACTACTGGTGACCCAGAAAAGACCAAGCCCGAGTGGTGGCCTCCTGGTGTCATGCACAAGGAGCCCGACCACTTGAGAAAAGAGCGTATGATTTACCTACGGCCTTGATTGTTGATCTACTTGCTTACTTTATTTTCAACAGAACGCATTGAGCTCTTGCTTCACATTATCCGCAAGCTCGGCTCTTACGGCATTACTGCCGATAAGCTTAAGGATGTTGCTGGTGATACCAAGCGGAGCTTGAAGCACGCATCCCATGTCGAGATCATTTACGAGATCCTCCGGGTCCGAAGGATGGAGGAGCGTTTCGAAAGAGGTGAAATCGGCGCCAACATGGTCGTCTACACGATGATCCGCAGCCATAATCCTAAGGGTGATGAAGAAGACGACTCCGCCACCTCAGTGGCTATCGAGAAGCCCGAGCACATCAGCCATGGATTAATGAACCCCACCTCACCATTTGAGCAAGCATCTACCTCCTTAACCACACCTATCGACAATATCCCATCAGACCGCTACCTCCCAGGCAGGTTCTCTATGGCGGAGCCTCTCAACTTCGAAAATCCCGCCTGCCAAGGTCGCCACTACTACGCCACACCTCCCCAATGCTCCGATTCATTGTCGCAGCCCATGCTCAGCACTCCCATGGCAGCAGAGAACATCAGCCCCCATGACGTCTCGGTCTCAGCTTTCGACTACTCCGCTCACAACACCTACCCAAACTCTACTCCAGGAGTAAGCGGTAACTACGATACCTGGACGCCGCCTTTCCGCAATAACATCTTCAACCCTGTCGACTATGCTACACCGGCATTTAGCCAGTGTACGCCCCAGCCGTTAATGAACCAGATTCCCACGGTATTGCACGTGCAGCACATGGCCCATCTCCATCCCCAGCTGCCAGACATGGACTCCATCCACCGGACCTCTCTCTCTGTCCGCATGGGATCGCTGGGCCACCCGCGTTCTAACCGGATGCTGTCTCCCACACCGTCTAGATGACTAATAAGGTGTGAGGTTCTTGTCACCAACGTTTGACTCGAGGGCAGCGTCAAAATGGGACATGGGTATGGGTGTGTTTGCTCTTTTTTTTTGGGGAATGTTCGGGTTTTCTTTGATTTGAAGTGATCTATATTCCGGCCTTTGGTTTGTTCTGTGGTTTCTTTCTTCGATTTTTATTCTTTTCGCCATTGTATTTTTTTTTGGTGTTGGCCTTCTGCTTCTCCTGATCTGCTTCTTTTCTTCTATTGATCTGTTTATGTGCTTGATCCTTCTTGGTTTTGTTGTCTATATGGGTTTTCTCCAAATTAATTGTTTGGAGCTGTTGATGAATGAGATTTGGATAGCGAAATTCATTTTGTCGATAATTGTCAATAATGCCTATTGATATTAAAAAATTCCAACTAGTTGGCCGAATAGAGAGAAGTCCAATGACTCGCTCAGAAATTGGTCTTAGCAAATAGGAAGAGCAGGGGGCGTGGAGGTTTCTAGAATAAAGTATGGTGGATAATCGTGTTGGGTCCTGATGGGATTTATGCAATATTAGTAAAACCCTCTCTACCCCTGATACGCCTCACAGTGTGCTGATACATATACGATTCAGCTTGGACTAGGCTCCCGAGTCCACCTTCGACACGTAATATTCTGTGTTGATCACAATAGAGTAATTGGTGGAAGCTTTCTATAGAGATAACCTGCGGTAGTTTTTGAGCCTAGGAATTGGTTCCTGGGAACAACCCCGGTCATACAGCATGCCAAGGTGGAGTCTTCCCAAAATTGGCATCGGCTGACTTCACTGGCCACAGCCTGAGCTCTTTAGCTTTGCTCCAGGGGCTGGGCATATGTCGTATTGATGCTGATCAGTTTCGAATTGCGAGTAATGAGACCGCAGTAGCACTCGCCGACCCCGACTAATATTGCGGACTCCATCTGCTCGGTTTATGTATGTTGTATATGGCCCGAACCCCAAATGTGACACGTGGATTAGGAAATCCCAGAGGTATAGCCAATGGGAATTGGTGTCTCGATCATCTTCGAGATTGCATTTTCCGCTTTTTTTCACATTAGGGCTTTTGTACATAAGTACGAGGGAATGATACATATCTTTACGTCCTCCTTTGAGGGGCCAGGCCCCTGAATTCCAATGTACTATTTACTAGGATATGGATCCTGAAGCGTTGTAAAAACGTAACGGTCCCAAATTCCGGAATTTGGGGCCAGAATCCCGGGCCTTTGACCTGAGCTCAGGCTTGCATGCACATTCACCGACTGCTAGGCTAACACTGCATATGAGGCTGATTTGCGGAATTGGGTATCATCATGAGTGAAGGAAGCCTTGTAAAGATGCAGCTGCCACTGTGAAATGGAGACAGCCATGGAATGGGTGAAGATCAAGAGGAATACGTCAGATTCATGCGCCCCTCCCTAGCACCGACAACAAAATCTCGTATCAAATCACAATGCCTCAGGCATATTCACCGAAAGACTTGATTGGTCCACTAACGCAGAGGCCGCCTTAGTTGGGGATACTGGAACATGGCCTTTGGATCCCCATTGGGGATATTCAAGGCCTCCGAGATGATTGACTAAGCCGTTGACTCCACAAATGCAGGCTACGAGCTGGAACAGAGGTCTAGAGGCGCCTTGCATACTCTAGCGCGCTATGCAAGTTACTTGCTCTCAGCCTCTGGATACTAGAGTTATTCCACCCCCTCTCTGAGCCGTGCATACTAGTGACAAGAAAATGATATCAGTTGGGGTTACTTCGATAACTCATCCACAACGCTGATGGTTGACATTTCCCCTGTAGTACTCCGAGACGACATTGCAGCAGGTATTGTCTCACATATATCGTGTCACCTTTCAATTTGACATATCGGATCTATCAATTCCCTAACCGCTCACCGAAGTCTATAATAGTTCCTTTGGTTCCCATCAGTGACCCTGTTGCCACCGTTGGTAATTCACATATCCGCCACCAATAGCTCGAGACAATCGCATAAGAAGTCTTTATTTTGCTCTTCAGCCAACCTCTATTATGAATCCGCAAACGCTGTTAGAGTATCTCCTTACATGCTACCCAGTTTTCCTCATGCTATTGTTCGTTGTGGTTTGTGTGATCCAAGTGGTCGTCACGAGCAAGACCGAGCAAAAAGACCCGCAGAACAATGAGGACCAGCATCCCAGACAGACCTGGAACCCGATAGCTTTCAGTCAGGTTCAGCCTTTTTCCCGGACCGTCAAACACTGCTTTAACTGGCTCTCAGCCGGTGTGCTTGTGACATTCTTTGCGAATGCGACGATATATACCACCCATGTGTTAATGGCCCGCTCCGAGTATTGGTGGCGCGGGCAGTCTGTAGTGGTGCGTCTCTATGCGCTACGTCTTCTACTGCTATGTTATGTGTTACGTCCTAACAACCGCAGATTTATATCGTGGGCTCTATCTTTGCCTACGCAGTTATTCTTCTCAGCATACTCGATACCACCTCTTCCCCGACGGCCACTCAGCTCACATGTTGGTCCTTCGCCATTCCCACTGAGCTTATTATTCTTACCACCTCCCTCTCAATTTATACCTCAGTCCACTATGAGCCAGTAGTCGGAGACCCCGACGGAGGCGCAATGCGCCAGGGGATCACCTTTTGGGAGTGCATGGAAGTGGTCCCCAACGGGGTCCGTATATTGATTCTGGTCTCTCTTGTTCTACTCTACTCCACCAAGTCTAGTAATTTCATAGGACTTGATGGAGGCTCAGAGGAAGAGCCAGGTTGTGATACTGAGACAACTCAGCTACTGAGCCCTCCGCGCACAAAGAGTTGTCGTGGTAATGGCCAGATCTATGGTTCAACAAGTGGAACTGCGAGACCCGCAGATACCAAACCACAGAACTCCTGGGCCCGACCAGAAGAATTGCCATCCAGGAGTTGCTTGGAGTATCTCAGTGGCTTCTCCCGTTTTTCCCCCTACATGTGGCCCTCCAAGTCCCCCTGCCTACAGGCTGTGGCAGTGATTTGTTTCCTTCTCGTGATTTTCCAGCGAGTTCTCAATGTGTGGATACCCATCCAGACTGGGGCGATCATTACATCTTTGGCAAATCAACAAAATGCAAATGACCTCCAACCACCGTGGTTTGAGATCTGCATGTATGTTTTTTACCGGTGGCTGCAGGCAAATGTGGGCTCTTTGCGCTCTGGTCTCTGGATTCCCATCGGCCAGTATTCCTACCTGGAGCTTTCCACAGCTGCCTTCGAACATGTTCACAGTCTCAGCTTGGACTTTCACCTGCGAAACCAGACAGGCGAGCTTCTTTCAGCTCTGAACAAAGGCAAATCAATCAGTTCATTCCTGGAGCAAATAATATTTCAGTTCCTTCCTACGCTAGCTGATCTGCTCATCGCAATTGGGTATTTCCTAGTTGCGTTTGATGTTTACTACGCCCTCGTGGTTGGAATCTCGGCATTTGTGTATCTTTATATTACCATTCGCATGGCTCAGTGGAATGCGAAGACCAGAAGAAAGATGGTCGATGCTTCGAGACACGAGGATGCGATCAAGTAAGTTGAGGCAAATACCAAGGATCTGAGTTACAAGGTTGACATTCATGCACACGCAGAAACGATTCGTTGGTCTCCTACGAAACGGTGAAATACTTCAATGCGGAACGACACGAGTTTGTCCGATACCGACGCGCTATCTGCAATTACCAGAATACTGAGTACTACACATTTCTCTGTGGGACTCTATTAAACACCAGTCAAAGCACTGTGCTGTTGACCTGTTTACTGGTCACTTGCTTCATCGCTGCATTTCAAGTCTCTACTCTCCAGCAACCCGTGGGTCGGTTTGTTACCTTGTTGATGTACATGGCCCAGCTACAAGGTCCTCTGAGCTTCTTCGGAGCCTTCTATGTCTCCATACAGTCGGCCTTGATCAATGCGGAGCGTATGTTGGAGCTTTTCAAAGAGAAGCCAACAGTCACTGACAGCGATCACGCCTCCCCCTTGGCCACTTGTGAAGGAAGGGTCGAGTTTCAGAATGTTAAATTCTCCTATGATCCGCGAAATCCTGTATTGAATGGACTCACGTTCACTTGTCGACCAGGAACCACTACAGCCCTCGTGGGAGAGTCCGGTGGTGGCAAATCTACGGTTCTCCGTCTCCTCTTCCGGTCCTACAACCCTAAACATGGCAAAATCCTCGTCGACAGACATGACGTCCAGGATATCACGATTGATTCTCTGCGCAGGCATATCGGTGTGGTTCCGCAGGATACGATCCTTTCCAACGAGACTTTGATGTACAACTTGAAGATCGCAAATTTAAATGCTAGTGATGAAGATGTATACCAAGCCTGTCGCAATGCCGGTATTCATGCCAAGATCAAGAGTTTTCCAGACGGCTACTACACCAAAGTTGGAGACCGTGGACTGCGCCTCAGCGGCGGTGAGAAGCAACGCGTGGCAATCGCTCGAGCTATCCTCAAAGATTCTCCAATCATACTGCTGGATGAAGCTACATCCGCGCTCGACACTAAAACCGAAGAGCATATCCAGAATTCCCTTGCAACTTTGTCCAATGGCCGAACCATGCTCATCATTGCCCATCGGCTAAGCACCATCACATCGGCAGACCTCATTCTAGTCATAGAGGAAGGCCAGGTGGTCGAGAGCGGCACGCATGAGGAACTGGTGAAAATGCAAGGCCGTTATTCCCGCATGTGGCGAAAACAAAATGGTGAGACGGACACACCTCAAACATACGACAAGGTGGTGCGCATTTAAGCAGATCATCTATACAAAGGTTCAAATGATACAAGCCATGCAACCCGCTGAAGGACTATCTGACTTTTGTCTCAAACTGCTTTTGTTTTTCCTGTTTTCTTTACCAAAATCAGACGACCGCATGGGTTCACCAGCACCTATCTCTGCGCAGTTATGATGTAATGATGAAGGTAATATATCAGGATGATTATGCTCTTCAAACAAGGTCCTATTTCCTGATTCGGCTCTGTCCTTCTTATGATTATTTTGCCAAGGTCTACGTTGACCATGATTGCAAGCGTAAAGCGAGTCATCAGAGAAAATGTTGTTGCAAATTTCACCAGTACGGAGCACTCGAACTCGACTTACAACAACCACAACCATATAACCCTAAAATTCGTACTGCACCCACGCTTTGATACCCTGGCATTCAGAAACTTTAATCTATATTTTCTTAAATGGAATATGCATGGAGTTGTGATCGGTTGAATCCGATCATTTTCCACGCTGAAGCGCTTATCTAAGTATGCACTAAACCCTTCTGAGTTTCGTGGTAAAAACTAAACCCTTTTTGATTTTCATGGGCAAAACTAAACCTCTTACAGAAGATCAGCGTGCCTGTCAGCGATATTATGATAGCTTCGATTTCTATGCTGCCAAGGTTTCTCCATGTCCCTATCCGTATCACCCTGCAAAAAAGAGACCTTTCCTGCCGCGGACTGTAGTATTGAGCATGCCTGCACAGTGCAGGCTGCACTTACTTATCATGGCACCATCAGATCTCCCAACGCGGAAAAGAGGACGACCACGAACGTATACATCTGCTAAGGACAAGCAAGTATCGAGTGTCACGCAACGGCGAAGCCGCCGACAGTCTACCCGCGCTGTGCATCGAGCGCAAGAATTCGATCAGTACTATTCTACCACAGTGCCTCTGTCTACTGATATCAATGAGCCTCCGTCGACCTATTTTCCTCCGGGAGAACTCTCAATCGCTACCGAGGTTGAGCAACTTCTGCCACCTCTTAGCCCCGACCCTGGACCGTGGGAACTATCGGTACCTGATATCCCGCCGGTAGATATCGAGGTGTCGTTAGAACCCACGAGTGATATAGCCCACGATCCTACTCCAGCGATGTCGCCAGACAATGTACAAGAAGGGACAGACGAGGCCGATCCTATTCCAGCGGCGACTGAAAGCCTGGTCCAAGCGACCAACCCGTTCGTGGTTTTAGCTCCCGATCAATCGGAAGACGTTGCAACCAACACGGCTAGTGATATCTTTAAACTAGTCCGGCTTCTCACTGACCAACTCCAACAACACCATGGCTGCTGCCACCAGTGCCATACGCAGCAGGAGAGTGAGCATCAAATGCAGCATACGGAGCATCTTGGCCTAGGAAAGTATATAGACCGGATTCAGGCAGATGGGGGATATCCGGATGTTCTTAGTGCTGCAACGATGGCTAGACGAGAGGACAACCTAGCAGGACAGACCAGCGCAGACCGAAAACGGGAGATCTATACTGGGATCAATTCAGCCACGCCTGACGCTGGTCCAGTGCACCTCTGCCTTACTGCCGACCATGAGCCGGAACGCCCGACCGCGGTGACTTTTGATATCGATAGTATCGTGGGATTTGCGCACAGCCTAGCAGTGGCTAAGCTCGGAGTGCGGTGGAACTCGACTCAGATGGCCGTCTCTGATCTTCGTTCGGGTCTGCACCTTGATCCTCTTCCCATACAATATATTGGAAGCAATGGTCGCGCTCACCACGTCCGACGGCCGGTGCATGTGATCCCACATTATACATTTGGGCGGCTAGTCGGATTTGAGGATATCTCTCTTTACTTCCTATTCCCGCAGCTATACAGGGAGTAACAGCAATCTAGTCGCCTCCGTGATGATGACTTTCGGATTTGGATGGACCAGATACTCCTCCCTGCAATCTATCGCCACCACGACGGTTCGCTTGTCCAGCATTATCCTGCTAGCTTTGACCACAGCCGGCTGAATGCTACAGCCCGGGGGGTTGAGATGCGCTCGCAGCGAGTGGATCCGGTCGCTCGGCAGCAGCTTCTATTCTATTTCCTCCCGCCAAATGCACTCGCGCTTGTGTGGGCAAGTATTTTAGAGACCATCGAGAGCGCTGGACTTCAGCAATTCTCGGGTATGACTATCCTCGTCCAAGGCAAAAACCTGAAGACATTGACCAAACCCAACACGTAAGTAAGTAAATTAAAGTAAGTAAATTTCATTCGCGGATCTGTCAGGCGGTGAAGCCCGATTTGCCGGCAGGGCACTACATGATAGCCGGGACAACTATGTCACATGACGATGACTATTTACTCCACTGTTTCCGACGCTCCCCTTTCACGCCCCTTTGCTACGCGTTTCGTAGCGTAAAGAAGGCGTACTCTCTCCAAGGAAACAGGGCAAAATCGCCATCCCCGTCTTCAGTTGATCGCTTTTATCCCTGCGGGGCCGAGGCTCGTACGTCCAGCAACTCACACGGCAAGCCGCGAAGGTGGTCGGTGACGCAGGGGGGTACTCACTGTAGTACTGGGGGCCCGGAATGGGGCAAGCGAGGGGATATAAGATCCCAGGGTCACGAGTCTACCTTGTTGGTGACTCGGTAGGTGGTCGGTAGGCTCCTGAATTGGCCGAGGAGCTTAGTTTGCATCATAAAGTTGACTGCTTTGACTGCTAATGTTGGCTTCGAGAGCCATTCTTTCCACGGGTCCTGGCCACCTTCGCTACCGCCTTCTCGGTCAAGACCAAGAATTCGGTGGCGGAGTTCAATGAAACGGGGACAGGAGAAGAGGATGTGGTGCGTGTTCATGATGCCTTGGTCGCATGTGCAACGCGATGGGTTGCGTAGTGGGTTATCTTCTAGGGCCTGTTCCCTCCACTGCGGGAGGGTAGCGAGGTAAGCGGGGAGACCAATCTTACCGGTCTGCATCTGCACCAGCACTGAGCTGGCTGCGCGTCTCAGGGATCCGTGTATCGTAAAAATCTCTTTCGTCGGTTCAGGGAAAAGTGCGCGGAGATGAGCGCCGCTGTTGCTTGTCGCCCACTCCTCCTTCCACCGTTTTGCAGCCAGCTCGCGGAGCTTAGTGCGGCAGCCGGAAAGGAGGATGGCCGCTTCGGCGGGCCCGTATGTACTTGCTGCGAGCTTTGCTAGGACGTCGGCGTGCTCGTTTCCGTGGACTCCCATGTGACCGGGGATCCAGTGGATACGGATGCGCCAGGCCGCCAGTCGTAGGTTTTCTATCTGAATGGCGATGTTGCGGAGAATCTGCTGCCCGGAGCTGCGTCGCGGGTGGGCACATGCCTGGATGGCGGCCTGGTTGTCCGTGAAAATGGTCATTGTGCGGACGGGGGCTTTCGAGGTAGCCACAAGCTCCCTCACCAGGTCATCTTTAATCTGGCTGAGTGCCAGTAGGATACCCTTCAGTTCAGCCGCGTAGACGGTATCCTGGTCGTCGAGTCTGGCGGTTGCGTTCCCTTTGGACGTGACTGCCGAGGCACCGACGCCTCCGTTCTCTGTCTTGCTCCCATCCGTGTAGGCGATTGCCGAGTTTGGTCCGTAGAGAGGTGTCGCGCGGAGAATCAGATCATGTTCTTTGATGGCAGTGTCCTTGTCCGGTGCTATCCGGGTCTCGGGCGGTTGCCACCACGGGGGGACCGCGAACGGCCGGATCAGCTGCAACCTGTTGACTTCAACTCCTTTGAACTTGAGATGTGTCTCCAGTCGTTTGAGAGGCGATATCAGCCCGTATCGTCGTCCTTCCTCACTTCGTCTAGCGAGTGTGGACCGAAGGGGTGAAGCATGTATGCGGAGACAGGCCTCTTCCGCGAGGCGTTGTATGGCGATTGGTGCAGGTGGGACGAAGAGACATACCTCCAGGGCGGGCCCGGCAGTCGTCCGGAAAGAACCTGCGATATACTGGAGAACCTGCCGTTGCATCGACCGAAAGGCGCTATTCGCTCGATCCTCGAATGTTTTAGAGCCGTACGCCCCTTGTGTATACCACGCGGAGCAGGCGAATGAGATCTGAGGGAGTAGGACTGCTGTCCACATGCGGCGGAGGTGTAGGGTCGAGACGCCCCATGTCATCCCCGCAATTGACCGTAGCGCGGCAATCAATTGTGCGGCCTTCTTGCGACACTGCGCGATTTGGCTTTCTCCCGTGAGGTGCTCATCTAGCATGACGCCGAGGTATTTGAGTGACGAGGTGGGCGGGACTTTAACGCCTTGAAGGGTGATGCTCTCGCCGGACGGCGGTCGGCTTACCCTTCGAGCACTCCAGCCTTTCTTCCACATGTGCATTAATCCGTACTTGGCAGGCGCGAAGCGCGAGGCATGGCGACTAGCCCAGGCATCCGCGACTTGATGCAGCCTCTCCAGGCGTCGGCAATTGTCCAGCGCGGATTGACTCCACACCAAGATACAAATGTCATCGATGTATCCGGTGACAAGAGCTTTTCCGGCGGCGGCAGTGTGAAGCTCGTCGATGAGGTCCGCGTTGTAGAAGAGGTAGAGGATCGGTGATAGCGGCGAGCCTTGTGGGATGCCTGTGGCAACCGGGTGCGTGCCCATCGAGCCTTCTTGTAGAACCAGCGTTGTTGAGCGGTCTCTCAGAAAGCTCAGAATCCACCGAACCATTTGCTCCGGTATCCTTCGTTTCCTGAGACAGTGGGCTAATCTCTCATGCGCCACATGATCGAACGCACCAGTCACGTCAAGTGTGAGCAGTGTAGCGACGTGCTCATCCCGTCTCCAGGACTCGTACACTCGCTCAAGGAGAAGGTGAAGGGCATGATCGCATGATCTTCCGACTCTCCCTCCAATGTGAGTATCCGGTAGGAGTGCGTGAGCCTCGACGAGGTAGCTCAGTCGGGTAGCGAGTATTGACTCCAGCGCCTTCCCCAGTGTGCTCAGTAGAGTGATTGGTCTGTAGGCCTTTGGTATGGTATAGTCCGATTTCCCAGGCTTCCTGAGAATGACAGTAGTCGATTCGCGGAAGTGGCTAGGGCAGTACCCTAGCCGCAGACATTCGTTGAACAGATGTGTCAGAAACATGAGGGGGTTTGGTATCTCGATAGCCTTCTTCAGTGCGGCGTTTGGGATCCCGTCTGGGCCCGGGGCCTTGTACGACGCAGATCGCTGTATAGCGTGCATGATTTCTTCGGAGGTGATGAGTGGCGCGTTGACTGCAGCAGGGTAGTCATATCCCTCGAGGTCTGATAAGTCCGCAGTGGGTGCGGGAGGGAATAGGACGTCGCGGAGGATTTCTGCCTTCTCCTCTGCCGTCACGTACTCCCTGTCCCCTGCACGCAATGTCGGAGTGTGGGTCGCCCGCGGGGTAGTGTTCCTGGCCCATCTCGATAGCTTCCAGAAGTCGTCGATTGACTTGGTCGCTGCTTCTACTCGTTCCCGATGTGCTTCATTGGCGACCTTCGCACTCTGGCGGCCAAGTTCGTGGCGCATCTGTCGGAACCGCTCCTGGTCCTCTTCGCTTCCGGTCTCTCTTGCCCATCGTCGTGCACGTTTGACCTGGCGTCTTAGATCTTCTAGCTTCTTCGTGTACGTGGGAAAGGAGTGTGGGCCGACTCTTTTTGTCGGGACGGTGCTGTGGGTGGCGTCTACCATCGCGGAGGTAAGTTCTTCGACTGCCTGGTCGACTTCGTCGGTGCTGCGGAGGGGACGGCGGGACCACGTCTTGGATCTGAGCACTTTCAACCACTCGTCCCAGTTAGCCTCCCTCCAGTTCGTGGTCGTCCGGGAGGGCGCTCCAGTGCATTGGATGTCGAATTCGGTCAAGACTGGCACATGGTCGGCTGCATATAGCCACTGCCGTTGGGTGGTGCACCGTGTACATCGCTGGGCTAGGGATCTCGACGCCCATGTCAGGTCCAGCGTGGTCTCAACATGGTTGCCGTACACCAGGCCCTCGTATGAAACCGCGCCTCTTTGCGTCAGCAGTTGCATGTCTCTGTCACCCATGATACTGATTAGGTCATCGGCATCTTCATCCTCCTGTTGTGATTGCGTCGTTTGCGACCAGAGCGGATGGTGTAGGTTAAAGTCCCCTACCACCACGTGCTGGCCCGCGCCGCTATTCCTTAGCAATCTTCTGACTACCTGGAGCGTGGCTTTGGCGGTCGCCGCGCGTAGTTCCTGCCGATTTTCGTCGCCCTCGTCTCGGACCTTGCTCTCCACATATACATTGTGTACGTGTATCGCCCCACTATCGGTCTTCACTGTGAGTGTACTTGCGTCTCGTGTGTGGTAGCGGATCGACCATGATTTCGGGTCGATTCTCTTATTAACATAGAAACAAACTCGCGGTTTCGCGGCGTCTGCCTCGGCTTTTCCTCCGTGGACTTGTTCCGTCGGGGGGAGAAGGACGTGGAACCGTCCACCTAATGCCTGGGAATACGTCGTCATGGGGTTGGTGTGATTGTACACTTCTGGCTCCTGGATGGCTAGGATCTCCATCTCCTGCACTCCTTTTTCGCCGAAGAGGTGCATCATGACCTTGTTTCTCGACTTCCAAGTGTTGGCCTGTAGTATTCGAAGCTGTGTGGACTTTAACATTGAGAGGGTCCTTCGAGGAGGGCCTTCCGTGTTCGCCGGCGCGTGGAGAGCGCGGGGGGAGCATTCTGGCTGGTCGCATCCTCGAGCTCGTCAGGACTCTTGCTGCGCCCTCGGTGCTGTGTGCCTATGAGCGCGGAGCTCTCAGGGGTGACAGCTTCTCTCGGCGAGTCGATGACCACCACATCGTTTACAGAGTCGACTGGTTGGGCGCCATAGCTGGATAGGGCGCGAAGATCCTCTTCTATCTCTTCCTGACTTTCCTCGCCAGACTCGACAACGCGCCGCTTTTTCATCCGGGAGCGGGAGCGGCTTGATGACTTCTTCTTCGCGGCCTTCGCGGCTCTGGCCTCAGCAGCTCTTGCATCCGCTTGAGCTGTTTCGGGGGTGTAGGGTGATCCTCTTCGCTAGATGGCGGCGTGGCGGGCTCGCTATATCGTTCCGGGTGTAGCTGCGGGCCCTGGCGTCTGTTGAGCTGGATCTTTGCCAGCTCTTCGCCCCGAATAGGGCATCCCCGATCAAAGGCAAAGTGACTGAGATCGGGTTTCTTGTGCCTGACACACTCAGCGCACTTGGCCTTGCGGCGGTCGTGCGCATGTGGGCACTCCTTGGAATCATGATCCCCTGCACAGTAGGCGCAGTGATTGTCTCGCTTGCAATTTCGGGCTATGTGTCCGTACATCTGGCAGCGGTAGCATTGCTGGAGGCGGTGACTGCCGTCGAAGAATGGCAGTCGTGGTTCCTTCCGTAGATCGCCAGACCACGTAGAATGGCCTGGTTGGCAGCGTATGGGTCGGCGAACTCGATCAGGAGCTTCGCGGACTCTGGCCTCGTTTCATCCATTTTCTTCTTGGTCATCAGCCAGTCCATGTATACGATTTCGGCAGCAGTAGAGATCCGTCTGACGTTCTCGGCTTTCAGCTGCCTCCTCGCATCCGTGGCGGAGGGTGAGAATCGACAGGTCACGCCGTGAACCACCACGGCGTAGGTTTGTCTTTTCAGTCCCGCATTCTCGCCGAGCACCTGGCACCAGGTGTCGGAAGACCCCGCGGGTGCCGCCTTGATGAGGCCTTCGTAGTCTTTGATGTCATCTACCTGGATGAGGACGTCGCCACTAGGCAGAACTCGTGCTGCGGAAACGACTCGGTCTAGAAGTCTCGTACTAGGCAAAGTATTCTCTAGCTCCCTAGCCGCGTCATTGATGGATCTATTCAGCCGTTTGACCATCTCATCTTCTCTCCTGCGAAGAGGGTCGACGATGGCACGGTCAGTGCCGCGGATGGTTAGCTGAAGGTGCTCGCGCATCATCACTGGGGCAGGTGCACTGCTGCTACTACTCAGATCATTACTCGGGACCGACGTCCCATTAGTCTGCGTTCTGCTCATCCATCCAGAGACCTGTGGGGACTGTGCTGTCACGTGATTCGCGAGTGCGTCGCGATATGAGGTCGATCGGGGCATCGGGAGGGTATTGACGGGTTTGGAGGTTGCTGAGGTCTTTGTAGCTTGGACTTCAATAGTGTGTTGCATTTTGGAAATCATATCAGAGTGCTTTCTGTCATGCTCACTCAGCAGGGCGCGAATGCGCCCTAGCTCCTGGAGCATTTCGCTGTCGCGCATCCTGGTCGTCAGGGAGGTCACTGCTAGACCTCGGCACAGCCCATGGGCCGCCCTATGTGGGCGGCCCATGGGCTGTTGATGGGGGTGCTTTGGGCTCTAGTCTGGGGCCCATGGGCGGGCCCTGAGGGTCATGGGCGCGCCCAGAGCCCACGATGGGCGGCCCAACAGCCCAAATGTGGGCCAGAGAAGGACAAACCGTGACTTTCATAAGTTATGCATTTTTTCGGCTGTATTTTTTAGTATTTGGCTTACGAACTCGGCTTCAAGTAGGGAGCACGGTATATACAGTACACAATCCGACTAAAAGGGATTGTATTGAATTTTGACTGATTATCTAGGATCATAATATTCAAAAAGCTCTTCGTCCCGTCTTGAACGCTTCGACATCCTCCCTGATGTACGCCTCTGAGTATTGCCTTCTCCATGAGCGATAGGCGGCAATGGAAAATCATTGTCATCGCCGTCTTCTCCGTCACTAATTCGTCCTTGAGCGTCCATGTTTTCTTCCTCAGAATCCGAAGCACTAGACACAGTACTTCGCCGTCTCTTGCCAAGGGAGAGCTGGCTTACTTTCTCAAGAGTGACCTGCTTCTGGGTAGATCCTGAATCACCTTCCTCATCGTCACTGATAAGAGCAATAGGATCATCCTGTGGAATATCTTTTTCTTCCTCTATTAGGTCGATCTCTTCAGTACTCAAGAACTCCCTAGCAAGCCTAAGCTGCCCCTCCTCGATATCGAACCTGCTAGTGCACATGTGCATCATAAGATCCTGGATGGTCGTTGCTTTGAGTGAGCCTCGACGATAGTGGCAGATGTCCCTAGCAGAGTTGAAAAGTCGCTCGACGCCAGCACCAGTAGCAGGAATAGAAAGAATATCTCGCGCAGCACTTGCTAGTACTGGAAACTCATGTTGATTATCTTTCCAAAATAGGAGAGGCTCAACATTAATAGGTTCTAGGTCATAATAGGATTAGGTTGTGAATGTAATTGAAAGAATATAGAGTACCTCTTACGCCTCTGTAAAAACCGCTCAAGCTCATCCTGATAGCTTGGTATCGAGGTTGATTTCTCGGATCGTGGTTGCGTAAGGATTCGGTGAAGCCGCGAGACTCGTGCTGCTTGTGGCTGCGATATTGGGGATTGATGATCAGAAAACCGTTGCTTGTAGGGTTCGAGGTAATCTTTGAGGTATTGATGATATTTGTCCCGCCATTTGTAGTCATTATCTGACCCTTTCTGCTGTGTGAAGAACTGTAACTTGTATTGTGGCGCAAGGATCGTACCCATCGCGTAAAGGTTGCCATGATCCCCAGTCGTCTTGCCATAATAATCTTTTAGCTTTTCTTTTGCCGCTTGCAGGCCAGCCAACATCGATCGTTTCCAGCCAATCTCTTTTCGCTGGAGCTGACTGATTGAAGTGTCAAGGTGATCAAAAAGCCGGTTGTAGATAGCAAAGACACCATGGACAGTGGCATCCTTAGTCTGGCAAAGTGCAGTTGTAAACTCGTAGAAAGGCAGTGTGATGTAAAGAAGGTATTCAATTTGTCGCCACTCTTCTCGGTCTAACTCGTAGTCTCTGAGATTATACTCTGTGCAGTATTTATCAATCACTGGCTGCAATTTCTTAATACGTCGGAGCATCAGGTAGGTCGAGTTCCAGCGAGTTCTAACATCTTGAATAGGAACCAGCTTTGGCGGTTTAGTCTGAAGACTAAGAAATACTTCTCGGCGTTGAGGGCTTCCATTTATGTAAATGGCGAGGTCACGGACCTAGCGAAATAATTAATAAATATATGTTTTTAGGTGAATGAAGATAAATAGAGATAGAATAGAGGTCTTACCCTATCCAGGGTATCGGAAATCTCTTTCCGTCGTCGATTAGCACGAAGGGCTTTGGATTTCGCTTCAGACCATTCTCGTTCATGACTCTCATTGTTTGGATTGGCTTTCATTTCGCCAAGGAGCTTCTTCAGGCTCAGTTGGATAACATGAGCCAGGCATGGAATCCGGATGATAGGGAACTGATCATGGGACTCGAAGGCTGACAAAGACTCTTGGATTTTCTTCATCAAGGTCTTGTTGTTTGATGCGTTGTCTGTTGTGATGGCCAATACTCGACCCTCAATCTTGCAATGTTGAAGCCTTTCAAGAAGAACATTGCTAAGATTCACTCCTGAGTGGGTGCCATGGAGTGGCTCAAATCCAAGAAGGATTTCACGATAGTTCCAATCTTGATCGATGAAGTAGCCAGTGATAGCCATAAATGCCTGTTGAAATGGCGAAGTCCAGCAGTCCAATGCAATAGAGAGCTTTGCAGTTGAAGGAAGCTTTTCAAGAATCTTTTGGTTCGCGTCATCTACGGATTCCTGTAGTCGACGCTGAACGGTTCTAGCTGAAGGAAACTCTGGCATTGATGGGGCTGCCCGAGCTAGACGACAAAGCATTTGTAGTTCTGGATGTTCGACGACTTGGAACGGAAGCTGGAGTGCAGTGATTGTTCGGACAATCTGTTGCTCCCACTGGTCTTTGGTGAAGTCCTCAATATCATTGCGAGTATAAGAGTCCTAAAACAATTAGTATTGAAGTAAGCTATTAGAGGGCAGCAAATACCGATTTCTTAAAAAGTTGACGTAGTTTTGCTTGCTGGGCTTTTTGACTAGAGGCCAATTTACACCTGCTAGTCGTCCGATGTCGATTAACAGACTTTGTTCCATTCGATTTCCAGTTCGGGTGATCAAGGATATTTCCACATCTTTTACACATGACGCTTGGTACACCAGTGTTAATATGTGCCACCTGGTCCAAATTTTCCCAGCTTGTCGAATGCTTTCTGGTTCCATCCCACTCAAACTTGCGTCTAGGATCGCCTTTTGGTGCCTCGTCTCTCTCAGCTGCCGCCATTGTCTGAAGCACCAATCCATAAAATCCGCTTTATTCATGACTGAATAAAGAATGAAGTTCTTCGTTCGATTTGGGCCAACGCGCCCAAGGGACTGAGGAATCGAAGGTGGTGGTGGTGGTCGAAGGAAGGATGAATCTTGGACAGAAACAGTTGTTTGCTGACTGCTCGGCGACTCAGGGGTAAAGAGATAGGCATCGTCAGACCGAGGAAAGGAGAGATTATCTGCATCACTCTCATATCGGGATGAGGGGCCAGCGTCAGAGAATTGAGACATGGTGAGATACATTCAAGGTAGAGGAAAGATAGAGAATAGAGAAACTCACCTTTCTTCCGTAGCCAATTCAAAATCAGGGGCTTCGAATGGCATTCAGCTTTAGGAGCAAATAATCTTAAAAAGTGTGAAATAGCCGTTGGCCTATAGTTGCTAGTTTCATTGATTGGCTGGTGTCAGCAAAGGGCCCACACCATTTCATTTCACTAAATTAGTGGTCGGACAGATGTACCCGATCCTAAAGCCAAACAAGAATTCAGCTTTAGACACAAGAGGTAGGCAATTAGTGAACACAACCAATATGGTAGGGATTTAGAATTGTGAATGAACAGGAAAATAGTGAATCCTATAAGATCTCACTAGGAATAATCAACAAAAATTAGGATCAAGTAAATCTTTGCTCATTTATGGAAACTAGACTGTCCTACTCTACACAGCCCAGAAAAATATATCTCTGATGGGGTTTCATGACTTTACGATCTCCGCTCATAACGTCATCGCCAATACACTCAGAGCCTTATACCAAGGAAATAAAATACAAATCACCTGTCTGAAATGTCAGAATACTTGAAAATTTCTTTAGATTTCACAGGCATGTGGGTTGATTAGGGGTGGTGGGCTCTGTTGTAACCAGAACAAGTGTAAATTACGAGTATTTTTGTTGGCTGAATCAGCACTTTATCCGTCCTATTTGGGATACTTATGCATTGATGGGCTCTTCATGGGCGGCCCATGGGCTGACCCTTACCGCCCATGGGCTTTGGGCTTTGGGCTATGGGCCCTACGTAGGGCCCATGAATGGGCTGTGGGCTCTATACCCTCGCCCATGGGCGGGCTCTGCCGAGGTCTATTCAGAGGTATAATTGACTTATTATTTCAGAGGGATACATGAGCCTATATATACAACAATTTAGCCAGGTTGATTTCCAATCAACTTGGTCGTCTGTATAGACACTTCGGAGCTAATTCCGACGGTGCGGCTTGGTTCCTGATCTGCATCAGCCTCATATCACAACATAAACCTTCCGAAACCTGTGTTACGCACGACTATCGGGTCGTCGCTAAGTTAGAAGATTCCGGGTTATACTTGCCTAATGCTTCTCTGCTTCCAACGTCAACGATCTGTCTCTCAACCGTACCGTTGCTTAACAGGCCTTATACGGGCTAAGTCCTTTTGAGGGTATCGAGGAGCGATGCCAGGTAGAGCGCCGAGCAGATCTATACCGAAGTATTGGTCTGATCGTAGTGTTGTCAAGTTATAATCAAGTAAAGAGTCACCAAGGTTTCTGAACAGTAGACACAAGTAACAATGTATGATTGAACACGAACTAAACTAGGTACATGAAATGAGTGTCCTTATATATCCTTCGTGGTGATACCCTGCCCCCTGGCTGGGTATACCGGTCGATTCCTATCTGCAGTCCAACTGGTATACCAATCCTTGGCATCACCGTGTGGTATACTGGTGAGTCACGCGGTGTGTCGTCTCATTGGTTATTGCGGTATCCTTTGAGACGGCGAGTCGCGGGCCGTAAGTGGCCTTCCCGTCACCTAGCGTTATGGTGTAATCTTGGTGCGTAGGTAAATCAGGTGCCGGAACTGGCGCCTGTCTTCGCTGCTCACCCTGGGTGCTCGGGCTACCTTCGGCTTGGATGATGATCGCCTCACTCGGGTGCCCGTCTCGCCCCGCCCGCCCACTCTCCTGCGCGTAATCCAACATGGTTCGCGGCTGCCCCAAACCATCGTCATTGATTGCAGTTTGTATCCTATAGATCGCTCTCTAGCCTACAGGTTCTCATGTAAGCGGAACGTTTGCATCATTCTTAATCAATGATGTAACAGTATCCCCCACTTCTTCCTTTCGCAGAGGCCTCGAGACGTAACCGGATCAAAATACGCCAAGCAATTCTCCCCTCTAATCACACCCTTGCTTCTCCTCGTCAACCAAATGGTAAATTTCATTTATTAAAATTCCGTTGAATGAAACTAAACTTTCTGAGTACTATTTTCCCAAGTATTCGGCTTAAAACTATAAATCTTCTTCCTTCCCGCGGAATCTCGAAAAGCAACTTTCATTTTCTTTTACCCGGAACTGCTGGTTTAATTATTTCAAAATGCGCCTATTCGATCAAGCTGTATTGCTATCTCAGAGCATTACCCAGTTCCTCACTTATTCAGCTACAGAATGTACTCTACCCGTTCCATTCAGCAATGTAACGGGGACATGTATATTGATTAATGACTGCCTGGGCTTCAAGACACCTGGCTTCTGTCCTGGTGCTTCGGATATCCAAGTATGAACACCTTACTCAACGATCCAACATGCTGACATATTGTATGTATAGTGTTGTACAGACACTTTCGCCCCTAAATCCGGGCCCTCCATCGGTGACATAAGTAATCTCGGGCTCCAGCTTGTTCAAAGCTTCGAAGGATGGAAACCGGACTTCTACTGTGATGTTAGCGGTAAACCGCCATCCAGCCCGCGACACTGTGGATTGGGTGAGGGAATTCTAACAATTGGCTGGGGCCATGCCTGCATCCCGGAATCGTCTTGTAACTCAATCAGCCCTCCGCTGTCGAGGGCCGACGGAGAAGACCTTCTCCGGGATGATTTGCAGATAAAAGAAACTTGTGTTGATTCCCGCGTCGATGTTGAAGTACGTTTCTTTCGTACCCCTTCCTTTCTGACAATTGAGTCGGTAGGTCTTTATTCTGACATTTCGTCACAGCTCTCACAGAATCAGTTTGACGCTCTTGTCTCCTTCGCATACAATACGGGCTGTAACAGCCTCCAAAATGTCACATCGAAAATCAATGTGGGTGATTTTGATGGTGCTACTAGTAAAATGAAGGAGTATATTAAGGGCGGAGGCGTTGTGATCCCAGCTTTGGTGAAGAGGAGAGCCATTGAAGTTAATCTGTTCAACTCCTGATTTTGGATCAGGCAATGGTCGCTTTGAGCGTAGATTGAGGAGCTATAGGTCAGCTTTCAACGCATGATCTACTTATCTTTCACTTATTTCCTATGGGTTAGTTTTCTATAAGAAAAGACATTTTAGCACGAACCCCTTCAGGTGATAGAGGAGTAAAAAGAATATTGAATGTGCGAAGTATTATTTCATGAGAAGGAATTAGGGGCATTACTTGATTCACGTCATACCAATATTCTGTTCTAATGAATCGCATTGCCAGATAGTTCCTATGATTACTCTATCATACATTAACACGCATTCCACACCATGTCCTTCACAACTAAGGCTTCGGATTGGAATAGTGTTGAGAGACTGTTTATGCGTTCTCTGGCCCAACTTTGTACCCTAATAAATAGCTGCAATTGACGCACGCTGTGCTTATCCTTGATAGTTATGCTTATAGAACACGCAGGGGTGTATTGAACACTAGACACCTGACAACCGCTGGTGGGGTGACGTCAGGATAAACCTTTGACGATGGACTACTTCAATTAATTTCCTGATTTGTCATACTAGTTGCGAACTGCTATGTTTTATTAAGTTTGGAAGATGAAAAGCATATTTTTGCTGGTAGTGATGATGTTTGGATTACAGCTCCCAAGCTAAGTGAGGTCGGGGTCATTCGCGATACTATGAAATCTTTTAATACCAATCAGCTACATGCAGGGGGAGTATGACTTGGTAGATGAGGAAGCGCGGAGGGCGAACCACGGACGAATTTAGCAAAAGGTTGCGGGCTCGGATGATCGACATTCGTCATGTGGCGTACCCAAAATTGGCGGGGTTCATTTCACTTCGGACGCTAAAACTTAAATTATGCTGAGGGCAAAAATAGTCCAGTACTGTGTCCCTTCACGGTACATAAGTTCGTATTTAGAGTTCCACATCGCAAGTGGATCCTTCAGCCCAAGGAATTGGGTTGGCTGCTGTTCCTGGTTCCATTAAGCAGCCTGAAAGTATTGCCGTTGTATCAGGTATTTCTAGTGTGTATTGTTATAAGCTGTGGAGGACAACTGGGGCTGTAATCTCTCGGGTATGAAATAATCGTATCGTAACCGACGTGTGGTAGATATTGGCAGGTGGACCGCGGGCGTTATTTGAAGTCTCTAATGTTGTAGTGTCCTGACGTACATCCTTATAGTACTCTAGCCTTGAGGGTTTGGCGTCCCATGACCTATTATTAATCCTTCCTAAGACAGCGAAGCTCACATATGACGGCGTAGGTCCTGTCTGTTTTGTTGCTTGATAGTGGATAAACCGAAGCCAGGCGGGCCTATGAGTGCCGAGACTTCCGAACGATCGCTGCTTGTGCATGCAAAACGGACTGATTATATGTTTTGTTACATTATGCGAAGTTTCTGAAACTTTCCTGCAACTATCAGCCCAAGTTTGTTTCCTTCATGTTACTGTTCAAGGCGACCGACAGGGTCACCATAACTCAACAAGAAATTTTACTTGGCATCTCAGTGATCCACATCATAGTTCTTCAAAAAGAGACAATGGCTTTGCCACCAAGGCAAAAAACACGCAGAAATATAGGGAACCCCGGCCTCTAAATTTAAACATTCGCAAGCGATCACGCTGGACTGCCCCGGCAATATAGCTCCCTACAATGGTGGAAATCTATGTTCTTGATCTACATGAAATTCCATTGTAGATAGAGGAAGACAAGATTGAGTGTGAATATCACAAAATGGTTTCAGAAATTTGATGCTCACTAGAGACAACCTGGGATGGGGGTTCAGATTGCGCAGATAGGCCATAATGAAATAAGAGTCATCATTCTTTCCATTCACAAATTTCACTACCACCTCAGTTTCAGTACGATTAGGGAATTTTGTCGCTAGTAAGCTTTACAATTCGTGGTTGAGTAGTTGGACAAATGCTTTCCTGTGGCCAGTGTTGCCAAGCGGGTTCCATTGAAGCTAGCTTTCCTGATAGACCCACTACCATTGAGGAAGCGTATGCCTTACCGGTAATAAGAGTTACTGGCTGCCAACTGAGATATATTCTCCGCTCGTCTACTCCCAAATTGTGCGTACGCTATCCTAGAGGCCTGCCGACTGAAGAGAATTTGCGGCTCACGCCAAGAATTACTTTACTGAAAGACTAGCTCCTACAACTCAGCCCAGCTTGTGAGAAAATGATTTCGTAGACTCTATTTGGCTAGTAAATCAACACTGTCCAAGCAAAACTTGCAACGCGCCTTGAGAACGAGTTTCCCGCGAACTTCATCATACAACAACAGGACAGCAATAGGTGAATTCCAGCGCGTCGTCGAACCGAGCTATTTCTCTGTTCACCAAGATTTTCTCTTTGAAATAGAGACAAACAAGACTTAAATCGCGTGTTACGAACACTCGATATAAACACCAAGTAGAACCACTATAATTGATCAAGAAAGTAATATTCCAGGTGCCATTCGACAGTGACTGACTCAAATCTAAAAGCACAAGGAATGGATGATGCGAACCATGCACCACGGTGAGACTATCGAGCAATCGTCAAGGAGTTTACCATGAGCCCGGGCGTAGCTGGGTCCCCTGGTTGTTTTAGACTGACGAGTTGAGACTGAGATGACTCCAACGGTGATCATACCCTGGTGCTTTCAGGATTGAAATTCGTATTAATAACGGGGACTTCGAAAGGGATACCCTCGATAGTGTGGGAATTCTCGTAATCTGCCGATGTCTTTACGGTCACATATGTCTCCCGCCGGTCGAACTCATTTACCTTCGCTGAACACAATATGAACGAGATCTCGTCCACAGAACTGATGAGAACATTTTCCTTGGAGCTTCTCGGGAGTAAGCGCAATCTTAGAGAGCTCATGTTATTAGCCGTCGAAAATGACGGTAGTACGTTGAATCGTAGATTGCTGATCATAGAAGGCCCTGGCCCATCATAGCCTTTCATCAGCTTGTTCGTAGGGGAATCGAGGCCCCCAAGACCAATCTCAATGTCAAACTCTTCGAGCCTGTAGGAGCTGTGTTTATTGTTCTCCACGATGACGGAAAAGACAAGGTCTTGAGGAAGGTGGTCGCCGATATACACAGATGTGAATTGAGGGGTGTAGATTTTGCAATTATAGACTGGGCTAGAGCTTGGTCTAGACGTTACTAGAGACAGAATGGTGCTTAGTGTTGGAGTTGGCATTGAAGGAATGGCACGGACATGAGGCGCAAGGAAGGCTAGGGCGTGTGGGGCGGGCTTGTAGGAATGGAGTCGTTCAAAACTGGCACTTGTGGGTGATCCGTCATGATCCGGCTCCTTTCGAGGTCCCTGGCGCTCGTCATCACTGTGTGGTTCGTGAGTAACTTTGATACCGTTCACAGTGGAGGGCTTCAAGCGCCTCAAGGTTCTCGGACAGTGTATGTCAACCCCACCATCTGGTGGTTACAGGCTGGCGAGAGCTGTCAAAGCCCCAAATGACTTGAAGTCAACAGTCAGTGTGTAGATCGGGTCATTTAGCTGCAGAGCAAACAGGGCCGAGGTTGCTGTATCATCATCGAAGAACTTGATCTCCGTACTTCCATCTACTACAGAACCCATGTTGTCCACAAGTGCCTGTTGCTGTACGTCTGCGAAGTGGGGTAACCGCATAATATGCAGATCAGTTAAACTGGGCGTGGAACCCCATATAAACAAATTGTCTGTATCAATGGGCTTGCTGGGAAGGTTTTGGATATTGAGCGGCTCACGCCAGAATGGATCTTTCTTCTGGATGCTCTGATCAACGGTATACTGACGGCGTATATGGACCTTGATACTGTCAGTTTCCAGACCCTGAGCGACGGCAAATCGCTGCTGATGTGGCGGTTGGGTGAAGACAAGCCCCTTGAACTCCTCTGATCCTGGTATACGATCGAGCAAGCCCAACATGACTCCATCGGTAAGAATTTCGTGTCGAAGAAGCGGCGCACGAGGCGGGGGGTCCGGCTGAGCTGGCATGGTTGTCACCCGTAGATCCGGGAACATCGTGACCAAGTCAGAGCGCAGGAAGAAGCCGTATGTTGGGATTTGCGGAGGGTGACACAGATATTCGGATTTATTCTGGATGAAGTCATTGAGCGCGGTCTTGATTGCGACGCGGTCTTTATCATTCCCCATGTGATTTGCCAGACTCAGAGCCCCGTCAACCATGGCATCTACCCAATTGGGGTCAATGTGGAAGAAACGTAGACTTTCTTCGGTGAGATGACTTGGATTGGTGATGAGATAGTGCGCTGGCACTCCTGCGAGGGACATTCGGTCCATTACCCATGCCAGTACTATCATCCAATCCGTCGACACTGGATTGTTGAACTCATCGTACGTACACCCGTCTGTGCTCATTGCCAGCTCGCGAGAAGCATCGATGGCCTGTTCAAGGTAATGCTCCTCGATCTTTGGTGCACTGAATGGGAGTCCTGGGATCTCACTTCTGTGTAACCGGCGCCGGTGCCAGCGCTTAAGTGAGCCTCCGGGCTTGAATGGCATATGTTGAGCGCCACTACCTTGGTGTTGAGTGACATAAATGCGATCGAGATTTCTTACCAATGTAGGTAAACCGCGGAGAACGCCATCACTGGTGCGAAAGTTGTTCTTGGATTTTTCGCAAACGACGATACGCTTGCAGCTCTTCATGGCGCGTTTATGAATCGCTGCTCGAAGACGTCCAACAGCGGCAGTAAACGCCCGGTCTCCAAGAGCCAGCGTCCTACCCAGTTGCCACGCGGACGAGTAGGTTATATCCATGATCCCGACTTGTTTATCTAGGATTTGAAGGTCGAGACCAGAGTTTGAACAGTCGTTCATCAATAGATCTGGAACTACTGTTGGCGTAAACGGTCCTCGAAGCATTGCCACTGTTTGTTCACCAGTTTGAGTACGATATTTGACTAGAGAATAGCCGTCTTCTAGTCTACTGGCCAGTCGGGTACAGGCTTCTTGTCCGGCAGACTTAAGAGGAGCAATGACTGCATCGGGCGGACGAAGAACCGTCAGAGTTTGCCCGAGCGATTGAAAGGTGTCACCAACGTTCAGCATCCTTGGTGGCATGACAGTGTAGTTCCAGCTATGCAGTGAACACAGAGCCACATGCGATTTCCTGATAGGGAATCGCATAGCTTCCACTCCCTCGATGGAGACTAGATGGACGGCGATCGAAGTGGGGCCGGGGTTATCCAGAGGTCCAGACCGATTCCCAATAACAACAGAGAATATGCCGGTATGCTCGACACCAGCAATTGCCATGCCAGTCGTGTTGATTTCCCTCACATGGGATAAAAACTTGTACTGGGACGTGTCGGGAGAGCCTGGCACCTGTCTGTTGTTGGATTTATCGAACGTCGAAAATAAGCTTGTGAACAGGTCCTGCTTAATAAAGATGAAATCGCCGCGTGAGTCTTTGATTCTCTCCGTCTCCATATGTTTGACAGGCGACGCAATGTCTGCAGACCGGCTGAGATCTTCGATAGTCATATTGACCGCCAAAGTTGACATATGTTGAAGTGGTTGTGCAAGGTGCTCAGCTCTTTGTGGAAATATGCTATTCTCGCCATGGAGAACGTCCGGCGCAAGGCTCAGTCCATCTTGCGTAAACGAAAATAGCGCCAACCACGGCACTCTGTTCCGGTCGAACTTATCTTCGCCGGTTTTTGGGCTCCCCCGTCGCTCCCACGGCAAATGCGGGTCTGTCAAAACCACATGCGGAAGAATCCTATGATCATCGCTGTATCCCGGCGGCGGGTACATTGAATGTATCGATCCTTCAGGCAGGGTAAATTGCGGAGCATCGACAGAGAAGTCTTGCTTTGCAGTGAGCTTGATGTGGTTGTCTGGGTCTTCCGTGGGCCCAGGAGAGGGCCCGTCCCCGGGCGCTGGGTGAATGACTTGTTTCACTCCTACATGATGAGAATGGCCCGCCGTGAGCCCGGGTGACCAAAAGGAGTTCAGCCTTTCCTCTGTAGGTTTGAGGTTAGGCTCGGTGAGTTCTTCGTCCGCAGCAAGTATACCGAGTGAGAGTTTCTTCAACCGTATGGCGCGACGCGCGTGGCGGAGAGTTAGATGGCGGGGCGAATTAATTGCCGTGCTCTTTCCGCCCGTGAAGATCGGCATTGTGTGTGTTGATGTGAAGTCAAGTCTTCGTTGGAATAGAGCTTTCACAAAGACGATGGATAAACCACTTATGTATCACAGTTCTCAATAACCAGTCGAGTGCGTATCATTGGCTCGTATGCTCGCACCTTTCGTCGTGGTTGGTTTAGCACGATGCAAGTCTCAATCCAAACAAGAGCTTCCTCGTACACATGTCAGCTGATGTTGCTATACTCTCCGGATACAACTGGGTATCAGGTGTCTGCTATATAAGATTTGCACTCAATTTTGTTAACCTTTATGACCGATTAGCTGGGTGACCTAATTACCACACCACAAGACGGACGGCAATTCTAACAGTTCACAAAAGTTAGGATAATGGCATGCAGATCTCATTCTAAGATACTGTGAAGGTTCAAGCCAGCCTTGATTCAAACTAGCTAAGCCGTCGTGCTGTCTATCAAAAGCTTAAGGAAAGGGCGACCTTGTGGCCGTGCAGCGGTGTAAACATGCCTAGTACGTGGTTAGTACTTGATACATATGGGCCGGCCATGTAAGCCAGCCACCCGATTACGCTAATCAGTACCTTTTTGCATTGGATTCAATGCTCTGTGGGGGTTGGTATACGCGGTTCTGTTATGGAGTAGACCACTGAGCTGAACTGCTAGGGACAGCAATGGTGGGTGTGGATGCTAGATCCAGTTAACATTTTGAAGCAAAAAGGGCCACGAATAAGGTTGTGGACTTATTGGGTCAATTTGGGAGTATAAAGTAAATATTTTATACAAGAAAGTGCTCGACGAAAACCCACGTTTATTAATACTGCCCTAGAGCTTATTCAATGCAGAGCCAATCTGCTCAAAATCTATATTATTGGCTAACCTTAAGCTGGTTACATTTAACTATGTAGCTAGTTGGCTTAAATGCTGTTTATTTAACGTCGTTACATGTACTGTCGATTGTGTGGCGTTCAGTACATGTATTGCCAGTTGGGTTACCGCCCTCCAAATGAGGCTTTAACTGAACCTCAAATCGAATCGAATAAGGCAAAAGTTCGATTCGACTCAGGCGGAGCAATATCTCGGGCTTGGCTGGTGTGAAGACCCGCGTCGCTATTACGCAGGAATATTTGTAGGCTTTTCGGCGCCTGGAACGACTCACTTGATCTTCTTCCAGCTTATGGCAACATCTTGTGCCAGGAGCCTTCATGCACATTCATCATCGCTGTCAACTTCCACAGGCACAGTCCCCGCCGGCTCAAACTGGATGGCCATGTCCAACATGAGCGCTTTCCGGTCGTTGCCGATGACCGGCATCCAATTACACTCTTCTGTCAAATACAATGCGGAACGTGCATCATCGGAAGGATCTTGCTTGTTTGTATGTTTTCGAAGTCGAAGGACATGAGACGCTCTTTGTGATACTTTTGCAGCCTCACGGAAGGGCCTGCCACAATTCTCACCCGATCATCAAGCCTGTACCTGCGGAGGCAGCAGGAGCGAACCACAGTCGACACCCGCAAGCAGGCCTTCCACGTATCGTAATCGGCAAAGTCTAAAATACTGTCGTACATTTCCGGCGGGAGAATCCCTTCCGATTTGGATGCTGCGCGGCGGCTCGCGGCGACTTCGAAGAAGTTGACAAGCGCCGCGAGCCCGGGGAACTGGCTTCGTAGTCTTCGGATTGTCCCTGTGCAGTTCGAGTTCATGATGAGTTCACCGCGCCGATGCCGAACCTTCATACCAGGCTTCAGCTCTGGTCGCTGGCGCGGATATGTGCTCACACAATAATCTGCTCGAAGAGGCGAGAGATCGAGAGCACCACTGACTTTAATGCATTGCCCCACCTCAGGACCAAATGAGACTTCTGCAAAGGCGACTTCAAAGAGGGATAAGATGACGATCTGAAATTTGGTGCGTCCCTGCTCGACCCCCCAGGTGACGGCCTTCGTGGCGGACTCACCGTCAATCACCAGTGCAAGACTGATAAGCACGTCCTCGAGCCAGTATATCGTCTCCATGGGCGACGCCCCTGGAGGCTCGCCCGGTCGGTGGGACAGGGAGCCGAACTCCAGTAACGGAGGACTATCGCCAGTCCACACTTCGTCAAGCCATCCAGGTGATCTAGGTAAGTGGTTCGACTCGCAGTCCCATGATTGGCAAGTTCGAGGGTTACACGGCTGAGCGGGGAAAGAATGGAATTTGGCCTGGCCGGACGCAATTGAGACGAGAGCAAAAGTCAACTCGCGAAAGGGAAAGGAGTCCGAGCTCCACTCCATCCCAAACCTAATGATCTCTTCCTTGTATTTAATAAGAGTACCGGCTAGAACGTGTGTGAGAAACGCCTTCGGCGCCTCCGCGATGTCTGTTCTCGGGGCAACGAGGCGGAAGTCATATTCGAGCTCCCAATTTCGCTCGGGAAACTCCAAAGCCCCCGAGGCTATATACTCTTCCGGGCAAACGTCGAGTGAGATGGTGAGCTTGTTCAGATAGATACTGTCTGCAATGGCACGAAGCCATTGTTCATCCTAGCGTGGATATTCCCCGGCTTCCAGTGTATGCTGTGGTTCATTGTGAGGACTTCATGATCGAGGTTGATGATGTAAAAGTGCTCAGCATAGTCACCTAGCCGTGGAAACTCGGAGGGAAGCGCCTCAAACTCGCGAAACTGCGAATAATCGGGTTCGAACCCGTCGCGGATCTGGTAGACATGTCTTTCGAGGGCACTTTCCTTGGCCGCATACTCGGCTCGCATCGACTCGGGCCATTCTGCAAGCATTAGCAAAGTGCAAGGTAAAGGTCTTTCTTCACGGCGTACTATGGTATCCCTCGGGGTCGGTGGGGATGCTGCCGACTATTTTAGCACCGAGACCCTCGAAGTAGCTGTCGTATTGATGATAGCGAATGTAGTAACGCCTGCGGAAGCGCACGATCTCGAGGCCTCGAGTCCCCATTGCGGCCTAGTGGAACTTTCGATAATTCTTAGGTCGGTCTCTTCAACAGAAACGAGCCATACCAAGTGGATAGCGGGTCGTTGACAACTGGGCGAGACGGTGCAGACTTTCACTCACTCAAGCGCGTCACGATCATCAAATGTGCAACTACTGTGGGGCTCGATGGGCAACAAAAATCGGTCAAAATAAACCCTCCTTACAGCTGTTGCGTTTTGGCCCCAATGGTTCAACCAATCGGACCACTTCAATCCCATGGGTAAAAGCAAATTGTGCATGGCGTAAAGGTCTATTGGTAGAAGAAAATGAACACAAAAGCCATGGCTAAATATAGCAGAGCGCGTCGTGTACATCATCCCAAAAGAGCATCTTAGACGGACGCAACCTCGTTGGGAGCTTGATCGGGATCGGGTACACCACAGCAAATGTTCTACAACCCAACGCAAATTACAAACGGACTCACTGGAAGCTTAAGCCCCGTTCGTAAAGCTTGCACACTTTCATTGTATACATAAACATAATACTACGGTCAATCGTACAGGAAGAAGCACCGGTCGATCTGGTCGTGTGATCCGGACTCCTCCAAGAGTGATCAAGCGTTCCGCAATGCTACAGTATGACACGCCGGAGGGACAATGGTTCCTTGACTATAGCCTTAGCTAGAAAATGGTGATGTTCGCTATCGCACAGTAGGAACGGCAAAAGATTTTGACGAACTGAGGGAGTGGTCAAATACCACTAGGACCCTTTGGGACAGGCTTATTCATCGTTCACCCAATTCCCCCTAGTATTTGTACGGTATTCCGGGCACATTCGGAAGTACGGTGTTGTAACACGCCGAAGCTTATTTGTATAGTCCCCTGAGATCGTTCAACCGATCTTAAGACCTACAATCAATCACCTGATTCTATTGGACATGTTCAGTACTAGCCAGTACACCAATTCCTCATCCTGACAGATTCGAATCTGCACCTACTTCCGTGTAACACCACCACTAAAAGTTTGAAAATTCAGATCTCCATAGTTTGTTGGGTACGAAGCAATCCATACATGAATACTTTTGACGCGGGTGCTACAGAAATAAAGAGGATAAGATGACTCTTAACATACACTAGTATCAACATCAGCAAGGAGACTTGTTCCAGTGTTTGGACTAACCAAACTACTAAGAGTACTAGTTTGAACGCAAAACGGGCTTTTTACCTTGGCGGCGGAGGTCTTTCAGTACAAGTCGACCAAAAGGAGTGGTGGTCTAGTGTAGAATTTGCATGACGTAGGAATGTCGATTTCAGGATACGAATAACCCAAGACCGGCCGAAGCGACGAGGAGCTAATTGCCACGATCAAGATGCAAAAGTATTAGTTACACATATCCTAACGATCTTCACGAGACTGGGGGATTTAATGGACTGGGTGACTTTGAGCGATAAGTCAATGAATGATGAAAGGTCTTCACCTTTCTCGTCTCAAAGCAATCTCTACTTCGTTTATTTCGTCCCTCCGTCGTTGTCGAACTAAAGCCTGAGTGAGCTAGTTGCTGAAAAAATATTTCCGATATTCTTCATCGATCAAACGTTTCACCTGGTTGGACGCCATCACCACCATGAATAATGAAAGAATTGTCCTCCATATCTCTTGGCCTGCTGCAATGACAGCCTTATCGCCAGTGATTATTAGGTGAGAGACACCATCCGCTACCGAAAAGGCTGTTGTTTGCTCGAAAACAACAGCCCCTAGTTGAGATAAGTGATTGCCGATGATATCATTCGTTAAAATGTTCCTTTAAGCAAGGAGACACCTCTCAGGAGCTATGAACAGCAGGGCGGATGAATGCGTGCATCCTGAGAACCAAGGATGATCATCAGACTCAAGTGGTATGAACAAGCTCCCGGTAAACAAGGCCACACAATAATTCCACGTGAATCCACATAACATTACTGTATTATGACGCTGATGGCTGAAGTAAAGTGATGTGGAGGATCAAAACGGCTATGTGGTTTGTGGAGGGTGCATAAGAAGAAATACCCTCGGATGGCTGCCGCTGCCAGGGATTACCTAGCGATTCCAGCCTCTGAAATCTCAGTTGAGAGACTATTCAATATAGGAAGGGACGTGCTTTGAGTACGAATCCTCTATGAAGGGAGAGATATTGAGGATCTCCATGCTCTCGGATGATATATATAAGTTATGGGTCTGCATAGTAGGCTGAATTGCGAGAGGGAGGAGGTAGGGGATCCAGAACCATATTATCTAGAAACGTCGGCCCATACGGCATGCGATACTTATTGACAAGGATTTTGAGTTGCTGATAGCTGGTTCTTGCCAATTTCCTATCTTCAATAGCCCTACAGGGTGACACAACCCACAACAATCCAACTGCCTTGCACACATGCTACAAGAATTAGAGAGTAAAAAGCTGAGACTGATGTCAAGCATGCCTGTATTGTAAAACAGTGCGGACATGAATAAATGTGGAACATTGCTGGTTCAATGCCGTCCATCAACGGAGGAAAGCAGTGGTGGGGATTTCCGCCAGGGAAGTGGGGGGTGGAGGGGTTCACAATCGTCGGAATAGAGAGTGCTCATCTAGGTGGTTGTACTATTAAGGCACGAGGCTCTGATTATTGTAATTTTGAATTCTATTTCTGAAACACCTCGATGCTCCTAGCTATGCTTGACGTTCAAGGCCTTTTTCCTCCTTGAGCAGGTTCACCAAATGTTCCCCTATCATAGTCCCCATCAAGTCATAGCCACGAGCTGTTAGATGCAATCCATCATCAAAGATCTCCTCCCTGAAGTCCTCTGAGGCAGTATGGTACGGGATTTTGCTGTGTAAATCAAAGACATGGCTATGGCAATTTAGTATATCTTCCTGCGAATTAAGTTCGGAATTCGAGACTCACATTCGCTCAGACTGATGTGCCAGTATGTACGAATTCAACGTGGCTCGTCTTGTATCTAGCCTCTGAGATTTGGCTTCACATTCAGGGATGGTCAAGGCGAGCACTTTCGCGCCAGTAGAGAGAGCCACGCTCCAAGAGTCTTGCAGAGCAGAGTATATCTTTTCGGGGTGGTTACCGTATCCTAAGTCACTAAGAAAGATAAAAATTTTAGCAAACAAGCGCAGTAATCCAATGAAAACAAGAAAGTGAAGTATACTTGGTTCCACCGAGAACGACAACCCAGTCGTACCATCGCTTGGCGCATTTCTCTCGTATCCGAGGCAAGAACACCCCCCGCGGGGAAATCGCCAGATCACCTGGCATTCCATCCACATCAACTGTGATTTCAGTGTTGGGGAACGCTGCCTCGAGACTCTCCTTGAGTTTTCCGGCGTACGGGTGGTACTCGAGCCCGTAACTGTAGTAACCCGCTGTCAGGGAGTCACCGAAGCAAAGGACGGACAGTTTCTCTGCCATTTCCTCGTATCGCTCTGCTGAAAGGCCGCTAAATGAGGTCATAGGGGATCCGTCGGACCATGAGGCTGGAGATCAGCTTCGTCGAGACTTCCAAGGCCAAAAATACGGCGCCCATTTGACGCGAGGCGGGAACTTGGGCCAACTCTTGGAGGTGGGGCCGATAATTACCTCCTTGCTTCTACGTTGCGGTCTACGCAGTGTGATGCGGCGATGGGTTTCCTGCTGACTAAATCGCAGCCTTTCCACTTGAAACAGACACAGTATCACTGAGAGACTATTGAACGAATTGGTACATCCGTCCATGATATCGGAATGAATTTACCTAGTGAGCATTACATCACATATTATCGCGCGACCTGGGGATTAATCAACTCATATGTATGAGCAAGCCATAGAGCTTTGCTCGGCCAAGGCGGTGTGCTTTTTCGTCTATTTTGTCTCCTACCCACGCCACGATTCTCTCCCAGTTTCGAAATCTCGAGGCCTCAGCTAGGACAGAGTGGCTCCGTTCATGATATTCCTGTTGCCTGCCTTCAGTCCGTGAAACTTGGTGATATGGGTCTTCTGCTGATTTTACGTTTCTGAGAGTATTTTTAGATTGCGCCTACAATTCCCCTGACCGCGTACCGCATATTTCTATCTCCATCCCCCATTCTCCAAATTTTATGTACCTTTGAAACTACTTCTCACTGTACTCTTTGCCCGTCAATAATTTTGCGACATGGCCGCAGAGCCAATTTCTGACCAGCTTCTCGGGTCTAAGAACAAGAAAGTTGCCTATTTTTACGACTCCGATGTGGGCAACTACGCCTATGTCTCGGGTCACCCCATGAAACCCCACCGCATACGCATGACACACAGCTTAGTTATGAACTATGGCCTCTACAAGAAAATGGAGATATATGTGAGAGTTCTTTTCTTCTCTCGCTTTGCCGTTGGCTGACGCACGATTTATCAGCGTGCAAAGCCTGCTTCAAAATATGAAATGACTCAGTTCCACACGGACGAGTACATCGATTTTTTGTCCAAGGTTACACCAGACAATATGGATCAATCAATCAATCAATCAAAGTTCAATTAGCCTGTTGCAGTCTAACTAGTTGCGTATGACTATGCAGGCGCTTCATCCAGCTGAAGCAAGAACTCGAAGCCAAACGCCGAGTTGGGATCACATAGTATAGTGCATCCCAAGAGTATACAGATGCTGATCGTAAAGAGTGTGGAATCAGCCCATTCCTGTAACCCGTAATCCCACAAACCCATACATAAGAAATATATAACGATCGCCATGGAGTGCCCCCTCCATCTTCCATCTCTCACTTCTCACTTCTCACTTCTCACTCATCACGCAATCTTCATCTCTGCAACCTCCCCCTGCCTCAGTTTCAATTGATGGTGATGTTGTCCTGGCCAGTTGGTTGGCATGTTTGTCGACTCTGGCTGAGTTTCTCGTTCCACAGCATCATTTATCGTCATTGGCTAATGCCCATCGTCTTCCACACCTAGCTCCATGGCCGCAAGGCCTGTCGGTTCGTCGTCGTCCTCCGGTGTCACATACTGGAATTGTTGGAGGAGACCTGTTCGGTGCATGAAGTTGACCACGTAGCGGGTGGCCTGCGGGTTCGATACGATCTTGTCGTAATCCATCTCGTTGATCCCAATATTCCACAATTGCTCCCATAATTTCGTACGTGGGATGATATGTTGTGGGCACTGCATAAGAACATGCTTTGGTGTCTGTGAACCCTCGTCACAGCTGCATCTATCTGTCTCTGCTGCTTTAATTTTGAACAAGAAGTGTCGAAGTCCGATCCTCATTGTGCGCATCTGGATTAGAATTGCACATTGTGGCTTCGACAAACCTTCGTACAACCGAAGCGTCTTCTTGTTCGGCGCCTGCACCAAGCGCTTCGTGGGTGCGGAAGTTGTCTCCCGCTCCCACTGCTTCTCCCACCGCTCTCTGATTCGCTGGCGGACCGCCCTCTTAGCAGCTGCGGCAAGACGGATTATCGGATTATCCGCCCCGGTCGCAACTCCCATCCCCGCACCAAGAAGCGCTGCGCTTTTTGCTTCTCCATCGGCAAATTCATTGCCGTTCACACCAACGTGTGCAGGGATCCACCTGATGGTGATATTGTTGGTTTTGCTCGATCGAATGGTCCGTACGTGGTCCTATAGCAGCGTAAGCACGTATTGGCCAGACGGTCGCTGTGGGTTCTGAACTGCCCGGATGGCAGCCTGGCTGTCCGAAAAGATAACCAGGTCTATATTGTCTTGTCTAGCTGCTGCTAGTGCCATTTCAATGCCGTTGAGCTCGGCTGCATAAACTGTGGACTGGGAGTCTGTGCCCAGATACCTTCGCTCTGATTTTGCACCGTGTTGCAAACTGGCCGTGGACGCACCAATGTGTCCAGCGTAGCCGCTCCCGTCCGTGAAGACCAATGTTATGTCCTGCTCGACGGCCATCCTTTCGAAAATGTTGTCGTGTGTTTCAAGTGCGGTTTCTTGGTTCTCAATGACACATGAAATCCGTGCTTCCCATGGTGCAAGAACAAATGCTCGTTTTTCTTCCCACTTTTCCCCTGGTTGTAGGCGTAATGGCTTCTTCCATGTAATTGCTTCGGTCGGGGCCCATCCGCCGATTCTTCGTTCGCTTGGTTTTCTGGCCTCCTTGGCACTCTGTGGGCAAGCCCATCTTGGGCCAGTGAGGATTCTTATTGTTGTTTCCTCGACGATTTGTTGTAATCGTAATTTGATCGGGGTGATGAATAGTTCCGTGTCGAGTGCTGCCCCCGCTGTGCCGCGGAAAGCACCGCTGATTAGGATTGCCGCACGCTTTTGTATCTTTGTCAATTCGTTGGTGAGCTTGTCAAGTTCGCCTCTTGGCATGGCTCTTGCAGCTGGGCAATACCAAGCCGACAGTCCCCATAGCATCTGTGGGATGATGGCTGCCTGGTATACTTTCCGCATGGCAATCAGTGATGATCCCCATGTGGAGCCTGAGATTCCGCGGAGGGCCTCGAGGCTGCTGGCTCCCTTTGCCAGCATCTTCTTCCGGTGGGTTGTAAAATTGAGGTTCTTGTCGAGCCATACACCGAGGTATTTGGCAGTGTCTGTGGGTGCGAGGACAGTCGGCATGTCCCCTGGTATAATAACCGGCATGCCGTCGTGTCCGGACGGGTCATCCGGTATCTCCCAGATGTCCGCGTCTCGGACGGATCGGTTTGTGTTTATGTCTTGGACTCGGACTGATTGTTCTGCGTTCGGGTTGGTGAAGTGAATCAGTTCAAACTTGTCCGGTGCAAATTTGGCCGCATGCTTCTTGGCCCATGACTCCGCTTTTTGAAAGGCCTTTTCGAGCACCCGCACGTTCTCTTCGTAGCTCTTCGAAATAGCTAGAATGCAAACGTCATCTACCCAGCCGTATGCTTCGCTCTCCCCATATTGCAGCCCCCGTATTGTGCACGCTCGCACTAGCGGGGCGTTAAATAGGAGGAAGAGGATCGGTGAGATCGGCGAGCCCTGCGGGATACCTGTTGGGGTTGGAAATGCGTCGCTTAGGTAGCCGTTTGGCAGTTTGAACCGGGTGCTTCTCCCGGTAAGAAATGACTGTACCCATAGAGTGAGCGCACCGAGTCCCATTTGTTGCATGTTAGATAGCAACCTTTCATGAGAAACCATGTCGTACGCTCCAGCTACGTCGAGTAGTAGCATGCTAGCTATCTTACCTTCCCCCCATGCCTGGTGCACTTTCCCGAGGATGAGCTGGATTGCGTGGTCGACAGACACCCCTTTTCGACCCCCGAGATGCGTTTTTGGTAGTAGGTTGTACTCCTCCGCTAGCCATGCAATCCGGGTGGCGACGACTGCTTCGAGGATCTTACCGAGTGTGTTTAGCAATGCTACCGGTCTATACGACTTCGGGACTCGATAATCTCGTGGACCGGCTTTTCGTAGTGTCACTGTGACCGAGGTCTGGAAGTGCTGGGGGTTGTGTCCAGTTTGAATACATGCGTCGAAGATAGCAGTTAAAAGCGGGATAAATCTCGCTTCCGATCTCGAGCCTAGCTCTGCTAGCGCTTTCCACACTTTGTTCGGCAACGTATCGTATCCTGGTGCTTTGTTCGGTGGTGCTTTTTTAATTACAGTTCTCACTTCGGTGTCGGTTACCGGTGGTAGTTGAAACTGCTCTCTCTGGCTGGGGCCTTGTCGGATATCGGAGAGATCTGCATCTGGGGGTTGTGGAAAGAACACCTTACGGAGCGTGTTAACTTTGGCTATATTGGATTCTGCAAAACCTCCCGCGGTGGTCTTTAGCGCTGGCATGGTGCTTCCTTGTTGCTGGCCTCGATTCCTGGCCCATTTAGCCACTCTCCACAGCCCTTGGGGGCCTTGATCCACTGCTTCTTCGATGAAGTTCCGGAAGCCACGTCGGAGAGCGGCTTTAATGACCTTCCCCTTCTGATTCCTAGCCAATTTGTATGTCTGCCAGTCCTCGTTATCGTGTGTTACGAGATATTGCCGGAACATACGGCGAGAGTTCTTGACAGCCTCTCCGCATTCTTTTGTCCACGAGGGGTTGGCGTGAGGACTTGGTTTGGCCCATGGTGTCGATTCTTGCACGCCGCGCTGTACAATTTCAATTAGAATTGAAATCATCAGAAAGGGATCGTCAATTGGCCTCTCGCAAAAGAAGTTCATCACTACGTTTCTCCACCAATACGGCATGCTTAATTGTAAGCCGGTTTCCACCCCTTTCAATGAGAAAGAACCTTTGGTCCCATCTACTAAAACAGCGTCACCTGAGGCTTGCAAGCTATACCAAGAAAAGGTTGGCAAGGCTATATGGTTGATGTGTGGGGCACGTGGTGACATTTCATATGCTGCCACCCAGCTAGCAAAACATGCTAGAAATCCTGGAATTCAACATGAACAGGCCATTAAACGCCTGTTTCGTTACTTGCTAGGCACAATTGATCTATGCATCTGGTTTAACAACGATGGTAACCCTGCTCTCTACCGGTACTGTGATGCTGATCATGTTGGCTCTCACTCCACAAATGGAATCTCCACTTCTGGCTTTGTATTTCACCTAGCTGGCGGCCCTATCTCTTGGGCCTCGAAGAAACAAGCATGTGTTGCTCTCTCTTCCACTGAGAGCGAGTACATTGCTCAATCTCTGGCGGTGCAAGAACTGCGCTGGTTAATCTTGCTCCTTACGGAGTTGAAAATGCAAGATTATGGTCTACTTGACAGACCAGTGTTTATCCATGCAGATAATACTGGCGCCATTGCACTTGCCAGAAATCCAGAGTACCACGCAAGAACAAAACACATTGCAGTACGTTACCACTTCCTCCGCCAAGAGGTTTCGTCTGGCTCTGTTATCTTCAAGTACATCTCTACTCAGTTGCAAGCGGCAGATGGTTTTACAAAACCGCTAGCATCAACCGCTTTTCAACGGTTTGTTGTGATATGAGGCTGTTGCAGATCAAGAAGCTTCCAGTTCTTTCTACGTGGAAGAGATACATGATGCAAGTAGATGCCTTCACTGTGTATATATATATAGCCTCGTGTCTCACTGAAAAAACAATCAATTCATACCTCTGAACTACAACAGGTTATGAGCCCGGAAGCAATCTCTCGGGTGCCGTCTCTACTCATCTGAGAATCATCTTAACTATCTTGTTAATATATCTACCCCGCTTTCACAGCCATCACAATGTCTGCTCTGGTCCATGACTCTCCTGACCGAGCTGTCACAGCCATAGAGCCTCTGACAGGAAGCGACAACTACGCGACTTGGAAACGTCTCATGACCTCCTACCTCAAAGCGAGGCAAGTCTGGGACGTGGTGTCGGGCGACCTCCAACGCCCCGACTGCCTGTTCAAGTACGCCAAGCCTATTACGGCAGACATCCACCCCTTGGTGGAACCGCACCT